ACCTTCTTTCCACGTTCATCGGTCCCGAAGGTCTGGCCAACATTGCTACAAGCTCAAGAAATTTCCTTCAGTGCGCTTGGAGTCGGATCACTGAGTTACCATCACCTTTATATACCCGTAATACTCATGGAGTATTACTGCAGTAGTAGTAGTAGTACTAGTAGAAGTAGTAGTAAAGCTGCACTGGAGAATCTTCTAAAAGCCAAGGGAGACGTTTTGATCTATTGACCACCAAACTTAAGGGTTCTTCGTGTCGGAAATTCATCGACGCGCGTCGAAGATTTCTGCTTGTCTTCTTTCTTCTTCTTTATCTCAAAGGGAAGCTTGCAATATTTTTCTCTCGACTGTAATCTATTCTCATTCATTTATTTTATTTTTTCATCCTTTACCCTTTATCTTTTCAAACGGAAGCGTCCGAGTTTTAACGATTATCTATCAAATAGAGAAAAGACTATTATTCGCAACAATACTCATTAATTAGCGAGGTATTCATTAAAGTTCTTTTGAGCTTTCATTGATTTGGGAATTCGAAGCGAGGAATTTTTGTATGAATTACTGATAAAGGAGATTAACTTTTTAATATGATATATTTGATAATTTAATGTTGATCAATAATTTAGTAATCACAGAGTGAAGATTATAGATGCTTACGTTGAACTATCTGTTGATTATTTTTATTGATTTTTTAGGATTCTTCTGTTGACCAGGTTTTATTTCTTGATTAATTGCATCGACACTCTTTGCTCGATCAATAATATTTTTACTGCTCAAATAAAAATTTTTTTTCCGTTCATCATTTTCACTTTTTGTAATTTATTGATGCTAAATAATTAAATCTTCAATATGATATTAAAATTTTATTGATGTTAGTCGAGTGATAAATTTTTTTGAACGATGATTGATGGATTATCACAGTTCCCTCAAATGATTTTTCAATGATAATCAAATACATCGGAGACATAGTTTGAATGATTTAATCATTAAAGTGTCAAGCTTGTCGACAACTCTCATTTTCGAGGTGACGAAAGTGAACGAATGACGCAAAGACAATAAAGTAATTTTCATTAATGAATATTCCTATGGAAATAGAGAAGTTGGGAAAATGGTCGCGAGCGATTAGATACGGGCTTGGTAATGGCAGTAGTCCAATCTGCATTCGTAATGACGGACGTAGAAAGTGACACAGTGTCTGACCTCGATGGAGAGGACATCGGCCATCTATTAACCCCTCAGGCCATACACTCTGTCTCTGGTCTCTCACCATTACAGTTCTCTCTGTCGGTTGGAACTGTCGAGCATTTCTCAGAGCTACTCTTAACGAGCGTCGACCACCGTCACCACTGCCGTTGAATCACCCGCATGCTTTTCAGCCTCTGGGCTTCGTACTAGTGTTCATTCATCCCTTTCGTTCTCCTCTTTAGTCCCAACGTCCAAAAGGCAAAAGTCAGAGCTTCAGAAACGTTCATGCTTCGCTGCTATTTAGAATACACTTACAGTCATGGCAAATTGGTTTGGTCAACTTACTATCGTTCTTCCAATTTATTCTAACGTTTTCTCAAGTTAAATTTGTTGAATTGAGTGTTACTCTTCAGAATAAAATTCGCGTAAAAAACTTCCTTTTCAAGTCCCAAATTTTATTTAGAGTTTTACTCTTTGGATATTTATAATTTTTATTTCTTGACAAATAATTTGTCTAATATTTGTAAAATTTTTATTTTCAGCTTTTAAAATAATTCTTTTTTAATTAGAACTCAATTTCATTTGAGTATTTTTAAGTGAAATATTTATTTTTGAAGGGAAAAATTTCTTCAATTAAAAAATGGCTTTTCTTTTTCATTTAGAATTTTTTCAAAGTTTTTTTTTCGTTATTTATTTAAGCTATAAAACCGCAGGCACGAATGCATTTGGCAATCGAAAAAATGGTCGTGATTTAGTTCAAAGAGCATTTGTTATTTATCGATTCTTCTTTAGATTCTACTAATAGTCACATGGTGAAGCTGGGAATATAAGTAAAGTTATATTGCTCAGCTCAACGTTATAAAAATGCTGCAATATTCTTCTCCTCTTTCATTCTTTCGTTTTATTACTATCTCTGGATTTGCATTTGAACAATTTAAATTATTTCCAATGCCATCGAGTGTCGCTTTATCGTTAAAATATAACCATTAAATTTTTTTTCATTCTTTTATCAACTAAATATAAATCTCTGGTAATAAAAAAGTATGAGGAAAATTAAAACTTTTATGTTAATTCAGTCTGAGGTTTTTTGAAAAATAAATTGGAGATATATGTAATCGTGAACATCGATTAAAAGTGCAAGTGAGGACCCATTATGGAACATGAGAAAGATGAGTACGATGAACAGTTAGTCACGCGCACAAGTTTCGTAGATCGAGTACGCCAACTGGTGCTTCTCGTTTACAAAGATGAATGAGAATGTGAAGAGAATTGCAAAGCTCTGTATACATTATTTTTCTCTTCGCTATTACCATATATGTACATATCATATGACAACACTGAAAGTTCAGAATCTTGCTTTCATTTACACATGGTAGTTGGATTAATGCAAAGTAATTTGAAGTCGTGTCAAACTGAATTATTCTACTTTTCTTCATTCTAAAAATTACTCTGTCATGTCAAAGAGCTTACTTTAGGTATTAATAAACACCAATATTTATAAAAATAAAATAAATGAGCAATTTAGTAGGATTAAAATTTAATTGAACTCGTTGCAAAAGATTAACTAAAATAAATTTATTAAATTTAAATAATCAAAAAATAAAAAGTAAGAAGTTGAAATAAAAATTCCAGTTTTATGTAAATGACTAGTCTGGTTTATAAAAAAAATGGTAATGTTAAAAGTATAAAAATAAATAGATCGGGTAGAATTTTTTTTTCTTAAGGAAAAGCAATACTTGAGTCGAAATATTTAGGTGCCGGTGGTGATATTATAAAGTCTAATGTTTATATTCTATAGTTTCAAACCGCTTGGCGAAGAGCAGAAGCAAAACTAGAACCTACTTTGGTTTTGCATGCGACAAGCTATACACGTGCGCTGACCGATGGTTTATTTTTCTTGCCTTTTTTGTTTTCCCTTTCATACTCCCAAGAGTTCTATTTTTTCTTTACTTCCGGTCGTCGAGATGAAGCTGAGTACTTGTTCTCTTGTGTAAGCTAACGAGAATTTACATGCCAAATGAGGAACAATGTACTAGCATTGTTCATTAAAAATTCTTTTCCTTTTCTCCATCTCTCTCGTTTGTTTTTGTACGTAATTATTATTCTACTGCAATTACATCTCTTTCAAACTAACATGTAAATTTAAACTGAGATGTAATTAATGCTTTCAAAAAAATGAATACAATATTAACAAAAATTTTTTTTAAAGCGTTGACTTTGGAAGATAAAATTAAGATTTTGCTATAATTAAAAAATAATTAATAAATAGAAAAAAATTAATCATAATTAAGATAAAAATAACTCGTAAAGTATAATTATTTTATAAGTTAACTATACTCTTTTATGTACTAAATTATGATAGATTATAAAACTTTGTTTTGCAAAGTATCTGTTGAAAATTCAAGTTATTCATCATGTCCAAACAGCTAGGTGATTTTTTCGCTTTATCATCCAGCTAGATTTGGCTTTAGAATACTGAATTCAACCATACACATCTATCTGCTATCTTCATACACATTCATACAAAGAAACATCATATAAAAACAGCTTTTAACTCTGTATTAAATATTAATTAATAAATATTTTCATGTTCCAAAAGTAATCAAAATTTAAAAACTTTAGCTTAATTCAATTACAATAAAATCAACAAAATTTTCATCACTCAGAAAATTATTGAATCATAATAATAAATTTAATTAATGGTATTGATAATATTTTCAACGGGGTAGAATTTCAATAACATTATAATAAAATTTATATTTAATACAGCTACATAAAGGTTTCAGATTAAATTCAACTTTCATTATATTTTTTAAATAACATTATAATTATTTATATTCATTATGTCAACGTTGATAATGTATATCACAATATTAAATGTCCGAAATAACTGTCATAAATATTTTATTATATTTAATAATAGAAATATTTTCATTTATTTATAAATATTGTAAAAGGATTTCATCCATTTTATTTTATGATTGAATTGATGTAATCTAGTTTGTATGTTGCGTAACAAGAATTTAGGAAATCAAGAAAACTTTGTTATTTTTTAATTTAATCAACGCTGCGTTCGTATACGTTCGATAAATGATTATTTTACGTCATCATCTTCGGAAATGTTTCTCCTGTCAAGTATTAGATTATTCTCTATTTTTCATTCCCTCGTTTCTTTCGTCTGATATACCATCGGAAGCATTTGCGACGGGATGTAATTTTCTATCGGCAATGCACTGCAGATCCTGTTTACACTTCGACTCTATGAGTCGATGGAAAATTTTTTTCCATTGCTTATGTCTATGTATAAATCATTTCTACTGACACATCATTTATTTTCTTTATTCCACCATGTTATCGTTCGTATTTCATAATCCAGGATATATTGTAACTTGAGGTCAGATAAATAAAAAAGCAAGCTTTCGATTATGTAGTCGTGATTAGCTTTAAAAATCTATTATGCTTTTTTTATTCAGAGAGAAATTTTCGAGAAACGTTAAAAGAGGTTTCATAAAAAAGTAGGAAAAATGTTTCTTGAAGGTAATTTCTTGTGTACTTCAACATGTTGGAAGCTGTAAACACATGTTTTGATGCTTGTAGTTTTGGTTCAATGATGTTGTTTGCTCTATTCTTCATCGTGTTCTTGCTAACTTCATTTTTATTAAGTTTATTATTTAATTTCTTTACAGCAAAAAATATATCATATGAATTATAAAAAATAATCTAATATTATTATAACTTCATTAATTTCTTTTATACTTTTCACGATTCTTGAAGTATAAACTTTGATTATGATGATGCTAATACCAACTATGTAATTTCAGGGAACGTGGAAGAAGATAATGTAGTTCAGGGAAGTTTGAAATCAGACGAAATGTTGCCGCTGAAGGAATACTGTTCGACTTTTACATTTCACTCTGCTGAAGAAATAATCCTGTGCAGGAAATCCATCAACTTGGCGGATACGAGGAAAAGCAGAGAAAGTAGAGAAATAGACAGTAAGTGTGAGAAAGAGGTCTTAGAAGGGCGAAGGGGTGATTGAGAGCCTAAGATCCGTAAACCGTTTCTTAAGTCTCGCGAGAACTGCATGAGAAGCCGTTTCGGGCATTAATCATTCACAAGTCGTTTTCAGGAGTATTTTATGAAGGCGTTGAAATGCTTTGAAGTGTCGAAATGTATGCAAGTTATACATAGTTGGCTGCAATATAGTTACCGCATTCAATGATAAAAGCTTTCATCATTGATAATCGCATTATTTATTTAACATTTAACTCGGCTATTCTTTTAAAAAAGGTTTTTGTGTTGCAATCATTTTTTTTAATTGCAACCATTTATCAGACCCAATTGTCCATCAACCGATTTCTCTTTAGATTGCAAAAACTACCCATTTATCAATAAAAAAGTTTTCATATCAACATTTCGATATTTAAATGTCATTATGCAACTTTGTCAATTAGTGAATTATCAGCAATTAAAGTATTTGAAAGTCTCGGAACAATTATACAGTTGCAATCTTACTTAAAGTCAATTATTCGTGAGAGATCATATTACGGACACACATACATTTGACACTTAGGACAGTGTGTTGTGACAGTTCTGGAGAAATCAGCCTAATCGAATGTTCAATTAATAACAATTATCTGTAGAACCGGGTGTATCCATCGATTTTCGCGCGACAGTCATCGTACAAGTTCGGTTATTTTCGTAGACTTTCGGATGGATCCGTTTCCATGGAGGTGGGGCTTGCAAGCTTCACTACGGAACGCCGGCTATTCGAAGCTTGATGTTCAGAGTACGCGCCTCTGAATCGCATAAGACACTCACGGAAGAATTACGAAACGTGATTCGGCTGTAAACCTTTTCGTAAATTTATTAACCATGAAGTGAATTTTTTAATTGTTCATGTAAACATTGAGTGTTTTTGAATATTTAATGTCATTTGAAAAAAATTATCTCTGCTTAAAAAAAATATATTTTTATTGTGAATTGTTATAAGAGACAATTTTTAGAAATTCATTTTAGTTCAATTATTGAATTTTTTTTTTTACTGTGTTTGAAAGTTGATAATCATCAGAGAAATATATAGAGATAATAAAATTGAATAGTTATCAGTAAATGGTTGATAGGGTGAAGAAAGTTATGCTTGCTTTTTAAAACGTGCTTTTGTCAGGTGAAAAATGAATTAAAGTTCTTCCCTCACCTGTTGTCAAAATGTTAGGAAACATTAAAGTTAACAAGCTTGTATTGTGTTAGAGTTTGTTATCCTAACGTTGAATACTATATCTTCCACAGTGACGTGGTTTTAATTAATTATTTGTGTGCAAGTGTTCAGTGAATAGTAGACATTTTAGAAATTAATTAAACTTTACAAATGAACTCAGAGTTGAGGATCACCGAATTATTAATTGATAAACTGAATTATTTATGAAGATTATTTAAGTAGTGTCAAATCTAATAGTGACTGAAAAGTGTAGACTTAATGTTCAGTTGTCATTTTCGTGTTCAATGAAACAATAAAAGACATAAATTCTTCAGTCTCGATTTGTGGTGAGTAATTATGCTCCGATTAATTGCACCATTTTCATATAATTACTTAATGGAGTACTTAATGTATGTACTTACATGCAATTAGAAAATGCCGAGACATTTTCAGGGAATAGAGTGAAACTGGATTACATATGACGTTGGTAAAAGCAAAAAAAAAAATTACACTCTGTTTCTAGGTCACTTTTTTTTTGCATTAATACAAAACTCTGCTATCTATCTAATGGGGTCCACTTTTAATGAGATAGTTTTTTTTTTTTTTTAGTTTCATGCTCTAAAAAATGTATGTAAAAGCTTACAATTTTTATATTTATTTATTATAAAATTTAATTATTAATTTACATTTCAAATGTTGATTCTGTCGATAGGTAATTAAAATTCGTGGTATATTATTTAGTGATCCAATTATTGGTAAATTGATTATGTTGTTAGCATATCAATATTTTCATTGCATATTTTTGACCTACATATTGTTGTGAACGATGCATTTTTATCTTCTGTCCATGAATTTTAAAAATATTCCTCTTTTTTGAGGGTGTGATTCATTTGATCTATAATACACAGAATTTACAGAGAAAAGCCCATACATGGTAGAATTTGATATAGTTCTATTTCCAAATGAAAAATAGATTTGACAAATAAAATTGGTATTGGAATAGTTGAAAAAGTGCTCCTCTCTCACCTTCAAAAAAATATAAATCTCCACTGAAATGTCCAATCAAAGCCCTCCTGTATTTATACCGATGATGGTGCTTTCCAATTTTTGTTTCACGATTCCCCAGAGGCATTTGGTTTCACAGATTGTAATTACCAAATATTCTGACGTATCAAAAAGTATGTATAATATCTAAACTTTATAAATGCATACACATGTATGTAAATTCACAATGAAAAGATTTTTTTTTTCTTTACTTGTTCGTTAGTTTAATCGAGAATTGGTAAAACCACGAACGAGAAATGGAAAAATATATCGAATTCGTTCGTTCGTGAAAATTAGGGGTTTTCACTACTGTAGAAACAGTGATAGATTGGTATCCACAAAAATTGTTCTGTTGGGATATTCCAGTGTCCATAGAGAGAGTATGTGAGGTTAACCACTACGACACAAACATTTGTACAAATCGATTGTTAATTTCAAGTTAAAAATTCATCATAAATACATACAAACAATAGTGTTTCCAATAGTTTTTCAATTTCAACGTAAATGTTAACAATATACAAAAACCACTAAAAAAATAAATAATTGAAAAAAATACATTTTATATGTAATTAAAGTAAACAAAACAAAAACTCGTCATGTTTTAAAAATTTATTCGAATATGAAATTGAAAAAATAATATAAATAAAATGCGGAAATTGATCGTTCAGAAGCAGTAGGTAGCTTTGCCAAAATCATTAAATAAAGTTTCTAAAGGTTCCAATATCGATATCATGGTAACGAGATAAAGTAAGTGGATTTCCTCTCGATTAATCAGTCGTAAATAATCAGATTATTAATTTTTATATACTAAAAATATAAATTAACAATTAAATAATTACTTATTTATGTATTCATCTGTTTATTAATCTTTATTTCAATTCGAATTTCAATTTAATATTATTAGTTTGTTTCCATCTCGATTTAATTACATTGGCGGGTATTTAAAAAACTCGTTAGCGTTTAAATACATCGTTTAAGAAAAATAAAGATTCTGATTTGATAGGCGAGATTTACCGTTTTCAATAAACTTTGCTGGCTGCCGAGTAGAGCAATGAAAGGTGTGGAAAAACGTAGTTGATCGAATTGCTGTAAAAATCAGCGTTGAACTTGGAAACATGATTTTCGACGTGAATATATTTCACTTAGGCATCTTTACTTCTGTCGTGATCTTACTTCTTGGTTCTTCTCACTTCCATCTTTTTCTGTTTCTCAATCTTATTCGATCATAAATCCTCGAAGAATTCTCCCCCGAGGACATTATACAAGGTATAAGGGAATAAGAGAGAAACGTCATAGCACTTTCTTCTTCAACTAATTTTTTTTGTATAAGCATTAGCCGCAGGCTGATTGATATTACGTTGAATTCCATTTCATTTAGATGTAATTAAATTCCTAAGGATGATTTGTACGAAAAGGCGATTATTGGAATGCCATGTTTAGCTCTTGGAATCATATGAAATGAGGGATTGATAAAAACTACTTGTGACGTTGACGGAGATTGCTTCTTTATTTTGAAGAATTAAAGGGTGGATCGATTCAAGCACTGTATCCATCATGTAAATAGCTTCTAAATATTGATGGAATCTATTGCAATTAAATTTTTAATAGTTTGTGCATTATTTTATCAAGGTTGATTGATTCAATTTTTGAGACTGAATTTTAGAAATTGATTTATACAAGCCTTCTCTATCAACAGTAATCTTATTTGATACAAAATCATATTTATGTCATGAACTCTACTCCAAAAGTAATTTTTCTCTCTCAAACCCGTCTTTTACTTTGAGCTTTCAAGAATATTCATGAATTTCATTATTCTTATTTTTTATTAAAAGAATTAAAGCTCTCTAGAAATTTAAATTTTTCAACTCTGTTTCAAGTCAAGATTTATTCACAACTTTATAATTCTTGAGGTATTATTTTATTTCTGATGACTGATGCTTGAAAACAGCTTAAAGTGTTAGAGACGAAAAGTTAATACTATTGAACATCATATTTTCATCATTAATATAAAATAAAAAATTTGTGAATAAATTTTTAGGTGAAGAGGTGATGGAAAAAAATTTAAAGAGCAGAGCAGAGTTCTTTTTATTGATTATCACAGAGTGCATCTAAGTAAATATATTGGTGAGCAAAATTCTCTTATACCAGATAAAATATAAAGTGTGGAAAAATGTTGAGACAAGAGCAGACAAGAAACATCTAAAAGTTAGACGATGTAATGAAATTTAAAGATTTTTTTTTTGTAATGTAAAAAGGCTTCGAATATGTGAAAAAGAAACGGTCGTAGAAGAATGGAAAATATCCTGACACTCGTTGAATACTCGATTATTATGCATATGTTGAATGTAACTACATGTTGAAAACGGAATCTTTCATTCGAAACCTTTAAACTTTTTTTTATTCTCATTTTATGATGACACCACTTTTTCTCCCAGCTTGGACTTCTTTCAGTCTCCCTATTGAGTCATCTTTATTGTGAGCATGGAGTAAAAATTTATTGTAAAATTTCCATTTTTATAAAAATTAATGTACACTATTCAAATTATAATCAATCATCAATGCAATATTTAAACCATGTAAAATATGGAAGAATAATTCTTTTTATTTATTTTTTGGATCAAAGTCTATAGTAATGATCTGCCTACGATTATTCATTGTGCAAAGTGTCCAGTTTTTTGACAAATTTTTTCCAAAGCTCTAGGCGCTTTAAGTAAAATTTTTCGATTACGCGTATAGCAGGATTCAAAAAAAAAA